ATGGAAAAAACCTCCCCAAAAAAAAAAAAAAAAAAAAAGGGAGATTGGTTGTTGTCTGAATCTGCTTGGGCTACCATGATGACATACCATTGCCTGGGGGATCTGAACAACAGAAATCTATTTCTCACAGTCCTGAAGGCCAGAAGTTTAAAATCAAGGTGCCAACTGATTTGGTGCTGATAAGCATTTTCTACGTGGTCTATAAACAGACACCCACTTACTGTGTCCTCACATGAAGGAGAGAGGATTTCTTTCATGTCTCTTCTTTCGTTTATTTCTTTTTTAGATTTTTGCCGTAAGGCATATATGCTTGTAGGATAAAGATAGAAAGAGACAGACAGAGGAGCCAGGAGGTGGTGTAACGATTATGTTGCTGACTCCCACCGTGGTTTGAGTCCCAGACTCGGTGGCCAGAAACTGATGTCAGATGTGTGTATGTGTGTGCCCAAGAGAGTGGAGGAGAAAGGATTGCAGTGTGGCCATCCCCTGGGGGGTGTTTTCTCACTTTCTCTCTCAATGTCTCTGTCTTTCTTGCTCTCTCTTTCTCTCTGGCTAGCACATGTGCTCTAAGGCAAAAACCTCTTTAAAAAATGTGAGAGAGGGACCAGCAGTTAGCGTAATGGCTATGTCGCTGGACTCCCACATAGTCGACAGCAGTTCGAGTCCTGGACCTGGTGGCTTGAACTCATGCCGGGCGCGTGTGCAAGCGTGCCCAAGAACCTGAAAGGAAAATGGAGGAGAAGGGATTGCGGCGTGGCCATCCCCCCTGGGGGATGATTTCTCGCTTTCTGTCTGTCTCTCTCTTTCTGTCTGTCTGGAGAGCGCACGCGCCCTATAGCAAAAACCTCTCAAAAAAAAAAAAAAGTGAGAGAGAGATTGAGAGGGAAAATGAGAAATCCCCTTTTGGGGGGATGGCCTTGCTGCAATCCGTTCTCTTCCATTCTCTCCTTGGGATTTTGGGCATGCATGCACATGAGCCTGGCATGTTTTCAAGCTGTTGGGTCTGGGATTCAAATGGCAGAGTTCGCCATTTGGAATCCAGTGCCTTAAACTCAATGCCGCCTGCTGGCCCTTTCATGTCTCTTCTTACAAGGATACTAATACAATTCATGAAGGCTCTACCATCAGGATGTAACTACGTCCCAAAGGTCTCATCTCCAAAATCATCCCGTTACAAATTAGGGCTTCAACATATGATTTTTTTTTTTTTTGAGAATACAAATATCAGTCCTTAGCAGCTACCTAGTTTTTAACACTAATAAACTAATGTCAAGGTTAAATTCATAGAATCTGTCCTCCTGTCTTATGCCAAGTTATTTTACTGGGGAGGGAAAACCAGGAATCCACTCAGCCTCTTCTCAAGGGTCACATCCCAACTTCTTTCTAGGAGTCTACCTCATTCCCCACTGTCAGCCCACATGTTGATGCTCCACAGCTCAGATAAAAGGCATGTAGTTAAGGACAGACCACCTGAGTCAATGCATTTTTCTAAGCAGCGTGTTTGGTTAAGAACGAGTATGACACATTTGAAGCCAAAGAAACTCAATGGGGCCTCTACAGGAAATGACTGGAACGAAGATCTCCACCTTTTCACTAAATGAGGAATCGGAAGGATGCTGGCCAGGGAGCTACTGTCAGCCATCTTGTGATCACAGGGATTATGGCTGTCTGAGAAAGAAGCCAAGTCCCGACAACTTTTATGTTTTTTAATCTTCTGCATTCTACTTCTCAAATCGAAATTTATCCTTGGACTTTTGAATGAAAGAGACCAAGAGATCACTTTTTATTCTTGCTATTAGAGGGTGCACGTCTGTCAGGGAGAGACAGCAGGTTGAGGGGGGAGAAAGCATCCCCAATGAGGAATAGTCACTCCATAATCCCTTCTCTAACTATCCCTCTTTTTGAGATTTTGGGCATTAACACACATATTGCTTGGTATAGCCCCGGGGCCTGGGACCCAGGGGGTTTTTATCATTTAAACTAATATATACTCCTATACCGTTCTGTACTAGTCAGAAAACAAAATAAAACCAAGCTTTTCCACTTATACAGATTATGAATGAAAGAGTATGGGGTCAACTTTCTGACTCTCTTCAAATTACAAAGTCTGCTGCCTTTGCCCATCATCATTACCCAATTTTAATCTTTTTTTCACCTTTAAGAGAGAAAAAAAAAAAAACATATGGG